CTGCATGAGGCTCATCAGTCGAGCTCATTAGCGAAGCCAACCACCAGTTCAACTGCGACAGCTCAATAGGAAAATGGTGCAATCGTTGCTCACTTCTCTTTGGACCGCTCACCACACTCAACATTACTCGCTACGGCCCTGGCTCAGATCAGCTCATCAATTAATACTCAGCGGGTACGGCTTCTCATCGATTCAGGTTCAGAACTTACATTTGTTTCAGAATCTCTCGCTTGTCAGCTCAACATTACTCGTCATTATTCCGTCAGTCTCATTACTGGAATTGATGACGGAAAGGCGACGCAAACTCGAGGAGTTGCATTGCTTAAGCTCCGCTCACTTCACTCAAGATCAGACGTCATTATTCAAGCTCACATTCTGCAGACGTTAACGAACATCCTGCCATCCTTCAACGCTGCACCACAGGAATGGCCGCATCTCACCAAGTTGACCTTGGCTGATCCATATTTTCTGACACCACGGCCAGTGGATATCATCATTGGAGCTGAATCATATGGGCAGATCGTCAAGCCCAACATCATCAAACGAAATACATTGATGCCAATTGCGCAGCTCTCAATTTTCGGATGGCTCGTTCTCGGACCTGTCGACACATCATCGTCGGCATCTGCTGCAGTGCATCATGCATCGATTCAGGAGAGGGAAGATGCTCTCGACGAGTTATTGTCGAGATTTTGGACACAGGAAGAAGTGCCTGCGAGCACCAATCTTGATCTTACTCCTGACGAGCAAAGATGTGAAGAACATTTCAAGAGTACTGTTTCACGGAAGTACTGTTCAACAGGTCGATACACAGTTCGACTTACACTGAAATCATCACTTGATACTCTTGGCGATTCGTATCTCACTGCGCATCGATGTTTGAAAAGTTTACAAACAAGACTCTCACGAGATGACAACTATCGACGTCTGTATCATCAGTTTATGACAGAATATCGAGAGCTCAATCACATGAAGAAGGCTTCACCCGTTTCCAGTCAGCACACACAATATTATTTGCCACATCACGGAGTGCTCAGACCAGACAGTGCAACCACAACATTACGTGTGGTATTTGATGGCTCGAGTGCATCTACCAGGAGCCAAGCTGCATTTCGACATCACCGATGTTTTGCTCTGGATTCGACAAGTTCGACCCTTAGTTGCCACTGACATCACCAAAGGGTATAGGCAGATCAACGTGCATGAAGATGACTGAAATTTACAACGGACTCGCTGGATAGATGAACAACTCAATGAAGTGCCATATCATCTAACAACGGTCGATATGTTGATGACAATTTTGGAGGCGCCGACACCGTTCAGCAGGTAGTAGAATTCAATACTGCTCAACGGACTTATGCATGGCGGGCGGCTTTCCATTAGCAAGGTGGCACGCGACTCATCAAGACGTACTCATGCGGTTCAAGCAGAAAAGGACCAGGGCTCACAAATTACATTTGACGATTGCGTAACCGAAAGACTCGGATTACGATGGCTTCCTCAAGAAGATTCATTCACATTCTCAACAAGGATCTCGTCGCACACCGATCATTTCACCAAACACCTCGCTTGGTCTGAAGTGGCTTAGATACTCAATCCACTGGGCTTTGCATCACCAGTGGTGATCAAGGCAAAGATGCTTTTGCAGGAGCTTTGGCTACATGAAGCTCCAATGGGATGAACCACTGCTATCCCAGCTTTCATCACGGTGGCTCATTATCAGAAAAAAACTCACAAGCTTGCAAGCTCTCAATACCTCGGTGGTACAACCAAGGTAGCACCTCTCAAACCACATGGAGCACCTCGTCAGTGGAATTTCACGGCTTTTCTGATACTTCTCAACTGGCAATGGCTGCAGTCGTATTTATCACCGTCCACGGCTCTAATGGCGCCATGATTTCATTGGTGCGCTCCAAAAACAAGGTAGCACCACTCAAACGGCTCACCATCCCGAGACTTGAACTCACTGCAGCACTGCTGCTCTCAAGACTCATGCCATACGTTCAAGCCACCATGAAGTTGAACGTTACAGCAACTCACCTGTGGACGGACTCTGTTGTGACACTCACGTGGATCAAATCTCATGCATCGCGCTGGAAGGATTTTGTGAGAAATCGAGCTCAAATTCAAGAGCTCACTGCGAACGCACATTGGAAATACGTACCAGGTACGTGCAACCCAGCCGACTGCGCATCACGAGGATTAAGTACTGCTCAACTCCAAAGCCACTCATTATGGTGGACGGGACCACCGTGGATACTCACCCCTGAAGCATGGCCATCACAACCCGCGCTTTCGGACGAGTTGAGCGCGCATGAGGCTCGTCCTGGCATTGCGCTACATGCGGCCGCATCTCAACCGAACTATCACTGGGACCTGATATATAGGTACTCAACTCTCAAATAAATTATTGAAAATAACAGCTCTTTGTTTCAGATTCATATCGCTTCTGAGAAAGCACCGATGCAAGCCACTGGACTTGCATTCAGCTTTGGAAGAGGCCAGATTATTCTGGATTAAGGTTACTCAAGCGGCATACTTCACGCACGAGATCAAGATGCTCACGGCCAACTCGAGACTACCAACTGCTCACGCATTCAGTCGATTGACTGCGTATATAGACGCTCAAGGGATCATCCGAGTTGGCGGCCGCCTCAACCAATCAGCACTAGCTCAAGACAACAAACATCAGGCGATTTTGCCTCGCCACTCACGGTTCTCAACCCTGATCATTGCACACGCCCATCTGCGTACTTTGCATGGAGGAACACAGCTGACATTGGCTCATGTCAGGCAAAAATACTGGATCATCGGCGGACGGGCTTCGGTGAAGTCTCATATTTTACGGTGTGTCGTGTGTGCTCGGCAGAGGGGGATCCGTGCTCATCAACTGATGGGCCAACTACCTCTCTCTCGGGTTACGCCGTCACGTCCATTTACTCATACAGGAGTCGACTATGCCGGACCGCTCACCATCAAGACATGGAAAGGACGAGGTGCGAAAACCTATAAGAGATGGATCTGTGTGTTCGTCTGCTTCTCCACCTCCGCAATTCACCTCGAAGTAGTCAGTGACTACTCATCAGAAGGATTCATAGCAGCCTTCCGAAGATTCTCAGCCAGAAGGGGAATTGCTCAGACCATGTATTCGGACTGCGGGACAACATTCATTGGAGCAGACGCCGCGCTTAAGAAAATGTTCATCCAGAGTTCCCAAGAACATCAACGAATCGCTCAAATTCTACAACGTTATTGCACCAAATGAGAGTTCAACCCACCAGGCGCTCCACACATGGGGGGCAAGTGGGAGGCGGTGGTGAAATCCGTGAAGTTTCATCTGAGACGGACTATCGGGGAGACTCTACTCACGACGGAAAAACTCACAACGTTGCTTACGCAAATCAAGGCCATTCTCAACTCGCGGCCGTTAGAACCGTTGAGTGACGACCCTGAAGACGTCTCAGCGCTCACACCAGGTCATTTCCTCATTGGAGGTCTAATCACTACCATACCCGAGCCAATTTAAGTGGCATCATCCTAACAACAACATCAAGGTGGGTTCCATCGTGCTGCTCACCGACGAACGCTCTCCACCGTGCAAATGGCCACTCGCCAGAGTAACAGCTTTGCACCCCGGCAAGGATAGACTCACCAGGGTGGTTACCCTCAAGACGGCCACCATGACACTCACTCGGCCAAGTGCCAAGCTTGCCATATTACCCATTTCAACCTGATGAAGGATCAAGAGTAAGGAATCATCAACAAGGTTGCTGATGGCGGGCGGAATGTTCGAGATTTCGTTAACGCTGCGCCGTCAGATCAGATGGCAGCATCGATCGGGTAACGACGCTAAATGAAGTGCCCACCGCAGTGATTACAGCTGCCGAGATACTGCATTAAC